AAAATCTTTAAAAAAAAAAAAAAGTCTTTGATGAGTACCCCAAAGCAGTGAGATACCCCAAGGGACCTGGATGCCCTCACCTTAACCATCTGCCAGTTCCCAGGAGTCTAACGCTTTCCAGAAGTACTTCAGGATTGCTGAGAAGTTATGGGGGAGTGTTCATACACTCTCTCTGAGCTTTGCCTGGGCAGTGAGTGGAGTTCTTGGGGTACAGCCCAGAGCCCCTAGCTCTGCCTCATGGTTTTGCATCTGCTACTCAAAGTGAGCTGGGTCCAGGAATAATGTGACCACTTAAAAAGTGTGGCAGTTCCTGTCAGTGCAACCTCACCTTCCTTCACCTGGGACCCAGGGAGCTCTTCCTAGTGATGATGTCAGGCTCCGGTGAAATGGAGCGTGCATTACACTGGGAAAAGAGCGTGAATCAGTGGTCCTTTGCTGAGGTGGCCAGGTGTGTGCCCCAAGCCAATGCTGGATGTAAGTCCAGCATGCTCTGGCAGTGATGGGACCATAGGAAAATGGGCTCCCAGGAAGGTGGAAGAAGGGTAGAATCACAGCAAGGGAAGGTGGTGGTATTTCCCACCCATATGGGAGGGGGGGCAGGTGAAGTGACCCAGGTTAAGGTAGAAGACAGACCTGTTTTCCAAGGCCCAATAGGGATCCTCGTGACCTTTGAGTACACTGTGTAGGTTAGTTGACTGGTCCAAATGTGATTCTCCAAGATGATGTTCAGGGGTCTCCGACGTGCCCGTCAGGTTAAACTCAACAGTTTTCCTCTTTGTGTGACCCGATTCTGGGTCCTCTGCTGAGGACCCGATACTATCTGAGAGCAATTCAAAACTGGTCTTTGTCCCTGGAGTCACAGGCTGTAGGCTTTGGTCTTTGACAGCGCCATCTATGCCCGAGACTCTGCGAAGGCTTGAGGGTGCTGACTGTCCAGGTGGGAAGATCATAGGTGTGTGGCTGAGGGGTGTCTGTGGGGCACTGTGGTAGCCTGACCTCCCGTACAGTGCAGCAGTCTCGAAAGCATCCTCCTCCTTAATCTTCCAGGCCTTGCTGTCTTCTTGGTCCCTAGAGTTCTGCCTGGCACCCCCAAGTTTCGTGGGCTGGCCCTCATGGAGAAGGCCTTCTTTCTTGGACCACAGTAGTTTGGTCTTTGAGTTTGTCCTGGGGGGATGGTGGTCATGGGACTGTAGCCCTAGGAAGCGGCCAATGATGCCAGTGTGAGTGCCCTCCTCCTCCATGTCTTCCTTATGCATACTGGAAAGAAGCATGAGACTCAGGGTTAAATAGGGGACAAAAGACCAAAGCCGGACTTGACTTTTACCCCTTCTTTTCCCTCCTTTTGGCCCAAAGCCAAGGACACACAGTGTTCCTCACAATGCCTGGACTCACCTCTCCCCCGACCCATCCTGTACTGCACTGTCCTCTTACTCCTTCCCAGCTCAGCTCACCTCACTGTTCTGTGGCTCCCTCTTGCCCACGTTCACTAAACTCCCTAGCCTGGCGCATCTTCTCCTTAACATCCCTCCCTCCACGCGACCTGAACTACTGGTCCCCGTGTGTGGTGGGTCAGATGAGGCCCAGGAGTGACTCTGGGTAGGCCAGGGGTTTCTGGTTCCAGCTGGGGAGCAGCATCCACAAAGAAGTGTGGCTTCCTGGGAGCCCAAAGCCTTTACTCGGCAGGAGAAAGCCCATTAGCCCAGAATGTGACCTGTCCTTGCCTGTGTCCACATTCTCCCCATGCTTCGAGGCCCAGCTCTGGGTCCACCTGGAGGCCACCTCCCAGGCCAGAGGTGGTCTCTGTTCTATGTTCTGGCTCTTTCCCAGGCATCTAGTACCTTGTACCTTGTGTCAGGGTTTGGGCCTTGGGTTTGAGCCCCCTCACTAAATTGTTCCTTAGAGATAAGGTCTGTGTATTAGTATCCTCTGTTCCCACCCAACCCTCAGCTGCTAGAGCACAGACCATAAGGAATTCTTTTTTTTTTTTTTT